TGTGAAGAGTGGGAGAAGAGGGTTGCATTGACAATCCAACACAATGGGCAGCACATTGAACACATTTTATAAGTGGTCAGAAACTTGTAACGAACTCATGAATAAGAATAAAGTTACGTTGAAACCAAGCACACCATTGTTTTTCTTGTGACATTACCAATAAGTTTGATGTGTCACATGGTCCTCTTCCTATTGAAAAAACAAACGTTGTATCCAAGATGGCCGACTTCTAAATGGCCACCATGGTCACCGCCCATCTTGAGGAGTTTGCCCCCTCACATAATATCAGCAACTATTCCCATGTTATTACAGTGTATCCATATAAATGGCCCACCCTGTATAAAAACTAAAACATGCAAACAAACTTAAACTCTGAATCAAAGATTAATAAGCATGAACTAAGGCACCATGGGATAGTGAAATAAAATAAAGGGGTAGTAAAACTTCATGCATGACATTTAGAATGTCATGTTAGGCTGATGAGATAATGTTTATATATGTGGATAAAAAAAATGACGTGCTGATGATATAATGAATGAAAAATCGGGAACATTTTAAGTTAAACTATTTAATTAACAATAATTCCTTTTCTTTTACAAATTACAACCTTTAATCCATTATAAATAATAATCACTGGGAGCTCTCTTCTATATCTTTCAATATATTTTTTATGTTATGTCTATATGCTTTTTTTGGTTTTACAACAACCTTAATATAGCCAATTTTAGCTAAAATAAACTATACATGCTAATGTGAATGTTGTAATATTTGGCCATTAATTACCATTTCTATGTAAAAATGCTAATACCTTATTAGCAAGCTACAGCTTCATATTCTAGTTTCATCGCTTTGTTGTTCACCTTACCAGTACACAGCGAGAGCGACCAACAGCTTATATTCGGATTTGGTCACCTTCATTCAACCTGGTGATTGCAGAATAAAGCCATTAGTGTTAGTAAGTGTTGAAAACGGAGTAGCTGATTGTTAGCCGTTTTGTGCTACTGGCACAATAGGAGCATCTACTATATCTGTTATATCTGGGAATACAAGATTGAACCTTTTAACACAAATTGTGTTCTTGGCTATTGTAAATTAGATGTGTTAAGTGTACTCTTTCAGTGATGCTACCAACATCCTGATACTCTATTTTAAAAAAGGGGTAAACATATGAAAGGAAAGGAGATAATGATAAAAATAAGAAGGTTTAGGCTGATGAGAGATGATGGTAGGTAATGAAAGTTAATGAAATTGTTGCAGAGCAGTTGTACTCACGCCCCCTCGTCTCTAAGCAGAGACAAGAATTTGGTCACTCTGTAATCTGGATCCATCTAGAGACAACAAAATAAAGACGGAGAGGAACTGAAGAGTGGTAGAAATAGAAGGAAAAGGTTCACACTGAATCATACAGTCACATCTCATATTTCCTAACGACATTAGGCAGTGACACTAGGATGCTCCATTACATCCCTAGAACTCTTTCTAAGGCTCTAGTCACTATGCTAGTCAATTCTAGCTTGATTGTATTTGTAATAACCTGATAAATACTGAACAGTTAAAATAGTTTTGGGCCACAAATTGTCTCCAGCAATGTCATCTTTTGGAAAATATAGCAAACAACACAATTTAGATGGGTACACAAGCCCTCTCAAGGTCTAGTAAATGGACCAGTTAGAATTTCTATTGCTAGTTCCCAAACTACTGCCTATCACCAAGCAAACTTTAAACCATCAGTCAACTCGTCTGTCACACTACAGCTCACACACAAAACTTTTTCAATATGTCGCCTTGCTTCTCTACCTGCATTGACATCTCGATGAGCACGAGGAGTTTCTTAATGCCTATCCAGACCCGCTTTCCTTTGAGTTGATGTGCGATGCTGGCCCGCTCTTTGTCTGTGAAGCTTCCCAGTAGCTGCAAAGACAATAAAGCCAATTCAAGCAGCACTTAAAGTCTCTGGTATAAGTTATGGAAAAACATGCTTTTATTTCAGCTTTAGCAGCTAGGCTTTTATTTTCAGTTAAATAGGTTTTTCACCACAAGATTTCTTGTTTTTGTATGCGCATGCATTTATCCTTTTGGGAATGGGGTGGTTATGTATAATTCAGCACCTTCACCTCTGAGTGCTAGTTTAAGTGCACAATTATGATTATTTTTATCTTTAAGCAATAAAACATGCATGCTGACCTATTCTAAAATGAACGTGATTTTTTTCTGTTGTCTGTACTGTATGTTGTGGCCATTTGTGCGTCTGAAACGATGGGGCCATCTTACCTCTAAGGCATCGATTAGCTGGTCCCCAGTAGAGATGTTGGGGATATGGATGGTGGTGCTAAAAGCATCTAACATCTCCATCTCCTGTAGGACGTCCTTCCTGCTGGTGGTGCCGATGATGAGCAGCTTCCGGCCCTGCAGGAGGTTTAAATTACTTGTTTCTGTGGGTTGTTGATTACAACATAAATTACAGCAAATTATCCAGTTATTTTCTGTGCTTATGAATTATTAATTTCTTCATTAAAGGTCTTACAAGCCCTGTGTGGACTTTATTTTTACAAAAGGTTTTTCTTGTTATTAGTAAATTTACTACCATATCTCATGTCACAAAACTTTTCAGAAAAACAAACACAGTTATGTCCATCATTACCTACAGAGAGCAGGGCGATATGACCAAAAATATTTATCACAATATATACTGTATTTGAAAATTTGCGATAACGATATAACTGACGATATAATTGATGCGAGACAAAATTCAAATCCACAACTTTACTAGCGCAAAAAAACATCCATTTATTTTCACTTAAACAAGCAGCTGTTTTTTAAGCATTAAAGCTATATAACAATTTAACAGTGCAAATGCAAATTCCTTGCTGAAAGTTTAACCAAAAGGCATTTCCAGTAGAAATGGGCTGACATATCCTGAGCATAACCATGTATAATATCTACTGAAGTTAAAAAGAGGTGCTTTGCTACATTAAACTGCAGTGTGCCAAATAAAAAAGTCAAATACGTATTTCTCGGACCATAAGGTGCACGGGATTATAAGGCACATTAAGCGAAACAAAGCAGTCAGATAAATCAAACTTTATTCAACTCATTCTTCTTGCTTCCTCCACTTCCGTACCATTAATTCATTAATGCTGTATTCTATCACAGCTGCTCTATTCCTTCAGTAACTCTACAAACGTCACTGCTGTTTAGTTTCCTGTCTTCATTTATGTTGGAAATGATAGCAGAGCTGTACGTTTGAATTTTTTCAGAAATCTCTTAGTCAGAACATGCTATATCATGTTTAGGTAACTAGCAAAACTAGCGCGCTAAGTTCCGCTAGCTTCCTGCTAACTTCTAACTCCGTTAAATGTAATAAATTCTGTTTTCATGGATGCCTGGCTGTTAAACTTCATAGTCGCACCTGGTAAAGCAGCAATGCTGATCGTTTTATTAAAGATGAAAGAATTTAGATAGTTTTTAACTCTCAGTGATGCTGTGTGTTCGTTTGACTTTGGGGCCTGAAGTGAACGGAGTTTAGGACCCAGATTACTCCCAGATTTACGAGCACCTTAGTTCGACAAATACGGCAATAACGACGGCCGCTTGCATGTTCTACAAAAAATGTGCTTTGTTTTGTATCTGACAAACACCAAACCAGTTCCACATCACTGATCTTGCACCATTTTTACAAACCAAATTCTGGTTCATCCGTTTCACTCAACAATCGGCGCGTTTTACTCATATTCTATATTCTATATTTATCTGTTCTTTGCTAAGCTGTAACCTAGCTTAGTTTAGCACAAAGCCTATTAATGGGGGAAATTAGCTAGCACTTCTATTGAAAACTAATCAAATCCACATGCCAGTACTTCTCTTGCTAACTGGCAAACAATGAATTTTAGAAGGATAAGTGGCATAAAGTGGTGTAACCTACCTACTGGACAGCGACGGACTTATTTTTACTGCCCGTTTTTGAGTATTTATGCTAAACTAAGAAAATTAGCTAGCTAGCTGAAGATACAGATGAACTTTTCTACCTGTATGCACGAAACTAACTAATTTCGCTGACATTTGCTTTATATTTTTCTTATTATCACCAGAATATCATAGAAAGACCAGAACTACGTATAAGGAAACATACATGTTGGTGCCACAAAGACTATAGACAATAGAGATAATGTCACTCCATTCTTTATAAAACTAGAGATATCATTATTGTAATATTGCAATAAATAAATATTGCGACATTTGATTCACAGCTTATTTCTTTGCTAGAACAAGTGGACAAGAATCACAAGTAAGTGTAGTTTTGTTTGTTCTATTATTTTCAAACTAATAATAGTAATAATGCACATTTGGTGCTTTAGTGAAATAGTTTGGGGGGTTTTCTGGGGGGTTTTGGCTTGCATCTCCTTACACTAAAGCTGCTGAAAAAAAGTGGGCTTGTTGAAATCTCAGGGGGTTTTAAGTTATCCACAGAAGGATACGGTAGCTAATCCATCACAGAGCTAAAGCATATAGACATACATATAGAACATATATTTGTTCACAACATTAAAGTGTGTATACAGTTTTCAGATGAACTCTGACCTTGGGTGGAGCTTTCTTGAGTAGCACCAGCAGAGCTTGAAGGACCAGATTTGAGAAACGTGGACCGATGGGCACATAGTCCAGCAAACGCTCAATGTCATCCACCACAACACAGCTCAGCTGAGACTTATAAGCATCATCAAAGACCTGAAACAAAGAGAGGAAGAGTGAAGACAGAAAGGCATTAATGCATGAGAAACGACAAGAAAACCTACAATTTTAAATGTAAACATCTGATTATTTAATGAACTGGTGTAAAGTCAAAAAGACACTGCTGCATTTACCTTTTTGATTGCCTGGCACTTGGAGATCTCTGAGTGTCCAATCATCTTGTCTGGAGAGCAAATCTTAATGAAGGGGAACTGTGAGTCCTCTGCAATCTTAGCTGCCAGGGCTGTCTTTCCACTGTGGGGTGGGCCTGTTGGAATGCAAAGGGGAAGGTACAGTTTGCTGCTGATGGATGGACATTTTTCTATTAATACTCCTCACAGGTAGGGATGGGTACCGGTGTCCGGTGCCATGATGGCACCGGTTCTGACATAAACGGTAGTAACCAGACC